CAATTCAGTCTCAGTCTCATATTTACACCTGATTCAACCAGCCTTTGTAGGTTATCAGCTGAAAGAGAATAATCACTCCATCTGAAAAGGTCATAATTATCATCATAATCATCATCATCATAAGGCTGAATAATTACCCTGATTAACTCTGCAAGTGATTTACCATCAATATTTGAAAGGTCATTGCCCTTTAGTCTAAGCATGTTGTCTTCCAATACTATATTCATCCTATCACATTCCTCCATCATTTCATTAACAATAATGCCTGATAAACTGCAATAACTCATGTCAATATGGCTCATGTCTGGGGAAATCTTAATAAGGCAAGCTAATGTTCTACCACTGACTGAAGATAGGTTAATCTTACGCAAATCTATCCATTTTCCATTCAGTCTCATATTTACACCTGATTCAACCAGCCTTTGTAGGTTATCAGCTGAAAGAGAATAATCCCTCCATCTGAAAGGTTCAAAAGTACCATAATACTTAACATAAGGAGGATGAATTACTCTGACTAACTCTACAAGTGATTTACCATCAATATCTGAAAGGTCATTGCCCTTTAGTTCAAGCATGTTGTCTTTCAATACTATATTCATCCTACCACATTCCTCCATCATTTCATTAACAATAATGCCCGATAAACTGCAAAAACTCATGTCAATATGGCTCGTGTCTGGGGAAATCTTAATAAGGCAAGCTAATGTTCTACCACTGACTGAAGATAGGTTAATCTTACTCAAATCTATCGATTTTCCATTCAGTCTCATATTTACACCTGATTCAACCAGCCTTTGTAGGTTATCAGCTGAAAGAGAATAATCACTCCATCTGAAAGGTTTAATAGCACCATATTGCTTATAAGGAGGATGATTTACTCTGACTAACTCTACAAGTGATTTACCATCAATATCTGAAAGGTCATTGCCCTTTAGTCCAAGCATGTTGTCTTTCAATACTATATTCATCCTACCACATTCTTCTATTATTTCATTAACAATAATGCCTGATAAACTGCAATAACTCATGTCAATATGGCTCGTGTCTGGAGAAATCTTAATAAGACAAGCTAATGTTCTACCACTGACTGATGACAGGTTAATCTTACTCAAATCTATTCTTTTCCAATTCAGTCTCAGTCTCATATTTACACCTGATTCAACCAGCCTTTGTAGGTTATCAGCTGAAAGAGAATAATCACTCCATCTGAAAGGGTTAAAAGCACCAAAATGCTTATAAGGAGGATGATTTACTCTGACTAACTCTACAAGTGATTTACCATCAATATCTGAAAGGTCATTGCCCTTTAGTCTAAGCATGTTGTCTTCCAATACTATATTCATCCTACCACATTCCTCCATCATTTCATTAACAATAATGCCTGATAAACTGCAATAACTCATGTCAATATGGCTTGTGTCTGGGGAAATCTTAATAAGGCAAGCTAATGTTCTACCACTGACTGAAGATAGGTTAATCTTACTCAAATCTATCCATTTTCTATTCAGTCTCATATTTACACCTGATTCAACCAGCCTTTGTAGGTTATCAGCTGAAAGAGAATAATCCCTCCATCTGAAAGGTTCAATAGCACCACAATGCTTATCATAAGGAAGATGAATTACTCTGACTAACTCTACAAGTGATTTACCATCGATATCTGAAAGGTCATTGCCCTTTAGTCCAAGCATGTTGTCTTTCAATACTATATTCATCCTACCACATTCCTTCATCATTTCATTAACAATAATGCCTGATAAACTGCAATAACTCATGTCAATATGGCTCAGGTCTGGAGAAATCTTAAAAAGGCAAGCTAATGTTCTACCACTGACTGATGACAGGTTAATCGTACTCAAATCTATGCTTTTCCAATTCAGTCTCGGTCTCATATTTACACCTGATTCAACCAGCCTTTGTAGGTTATCAGCTGAAAGAGAATAATCACTCCATCTGAAAAGGTAATAATTATCATCATCATAATCATCATCATCATAATCATAAGGCTGAATAATTACCCTGATTAACTCTGCAAGTGTTTTACCATCAATATTTGAAAGGTCATTGCCCTTTAGTCTAAGCATGTTGTCTTCCAATACTATATTCATCCTATCACATTCCTCCATCATTTCATTAACAATAATGCCTGATAAACTGCAATAACTCATGTCAATATTGTTAGGCAATAATACCACACCTCATCTTTGCAATATTCTGTTTACCGCCCTCTATGACATGTGAGGATTGAGCAAGGGGAATAAAGAAAGTAACATGGCGAACTGAAGTTGTGTTGTGCTATGATTATGTTCATGTAAATATAGGACACAAACAACATGGTGGCAGCGGTGTAAACCTTTCAAGATGGCAAATGAAGCACCACAGAATTCGAGTCTTCTACTACCTCCCCCTCCTCCGATGAAAATAAAGGGAAATACGCGAGAGAATTGGAAAACTTACA